CAAATTCAAAAAAGTCTTCGAAGGCCAGACTGCAATCCAACCCCTTTACAATGCGGAAGGCTTGCAAAAGATCTCCGCGAAGTTGCCTGTAACTCAAAGGAAAGAGATTCAGATTTACTAGGCGGGTTGCATAAGGAAAGGAGTTTTGACCCCTAACCATCTTCGTGGCTCTCCTCTGGACTCTTTCGAGGGAGTTTTGATCCACAACAGCCCACGGCCTCCAAGCTTGTATGCCGTACTCTAAATGCGGCCGGACGAATGTTCTGAATGTATTAGAGAAAGCTTCTTCGTCCAAGTCCATAAACGCACGCTTGATGGCGTACAGTACGGACATTGCGCTTTTTGGACTCTTTCAAAACTAATAGTCCTGTAGGTCCTTTTTATTCGTGCGACACAACCGTACAAATACACAATAACAGTGATGCACTTTTAAGAGCACAGTACCTTTCCAACCTATGAAATGCGGAACAAAAGTTTGAAATAAGTTTTCCGTTAGCAAGGATAGCTTAGGATGCATTGTAAAATTGACCATCATGCAGTGTAATTGCAAGGTGTTTCAATAATGCCATGATACTGGCTTATAAATATGCTTCTTTGAGGCCTCATGCAAAAATTACACACGGTAAAAAGTATGCGTTGAGAATTTTCCCATTGTCTTTTGACATCCTTATTATTTCAGAGAGAATTTATAAAAAACAAACAGAAGAATATTCTTTCGTGTACTCATTTGGCATCAGCTCATATTTTGTTCAGATTTTATACTCGTTGAATGGATATCTTTCGGCCTTAAAAACGCCTCTCATTATGGGATTTTTGAAGACCTTTAAATTTCCATTCAAACACTACCGACCTCCGACGACAGACAAGCAGATGGACAAGCAGCCATCTTCCCTACCCCCCCGTCCCCCAGAGACTACAGAGATGACCCTTGTGCGAATGCGGACTATGAGCGCCAAAGCCGCTTAACGACTCTCCCGGTGAACACTTTTAAGATAAATCCGTATCACCAAGGCCATGATTACATGCCTGTCACTCCTCTATAAATGCAGTGAGATGTGGTACGGGACCTCCAAAGATGGAAGCTTATCTGCCTTTGAAACGTCAGGATAGTCTAATTATGGTTTACGTGATCGCCTTTTCTTCTAACTGCGGTATTTGCTTGTTTATTAATAATACATAATAGTTCGCATTCATTGTAAAATTTGATGATACCCCAATGAAATTGTCCCAGTGACATGGAGAAATGAAAGATTTCCTTCTCACGTAAGGTACGACGCATGTGGTTTGGAAACCATAAGGGCAGGTGCAAATGCAAGTCTTATCGTGAAATTAAAACCGGTTTTTAAAGACAAAACGCTCTTTCTTCGGGTAGCACACTTTACAAAATTTACTTTTCTACCTAATGGGTGCACGAAAAAAAATACTTCTGTCCATTTTTGTGTGAAACATATTACAAGGGCATTTAAGATAAGTAGAATAAACTCATATCACATAAGCAGTCATTTCTGCCGAGTGTCGTTTTTACAGGCGGCTTAAAGAAACTCATTGAAAACCCAGCACCCTAGAGCGATCATGACAGTTAGACCGTCGTTGCGGACGATGTCAACAGGGTGCTCCACAGCTAGGCTAGAGCAGGGACGTTGACTTGTGTGTGAGGTAGTTTAGAGTGGTAGTGGGCTTGCGATGCATCTACCGCACTCTCTCCTCTCCTCCTACCTGTGTCCGGTGTCAAAACAGAGTTGAAAAGACAGCAGACGGGAGGGGCGCAGGTGGCTGGCATGGCGAAAACCCTCACGTAGGCGTACCACCACATCCCTTGGTCCACAGCCTACAATGACAAGGATTTTAAACAACGGGGGAAAGAGGAGAGGGGACGGCTCGGATTCCACGGAGTGGGAGTGACATAGAGGCCACATCAAGAAGGAGCCACTGCAGCCTGACTCTCATTCCACCAGTCCACCACTCCACACAAACGCAAGATTATAGTGAGAGTAGACTTGCGCTGCGTTTACCACACTCTCTACTCCTCAACCGCCTGGAGTCGGTGTCAAGACAGAGTCAAGAAGACCGGAGGCGTGGAAGGACGCAGGTGGATGACATGATCGGGCCCTCACTCTGGCGTTCCACTCCACATACCCTGATCCACACAGCAAATAACCAGGTTTTCGAACGACAACAAAGAGAATGGAGGCTGGCACGGCCGGATCCGCATCTAGGCGTGTCGCCAATAGCTGGCTCGGATCCCACGCAGTGGGAGTGCCATAGAGGCCACATCTGGAAGGAGCCACTGTAGTCTGACTCTCAGCCTACCAGTCCGCCACTCCCACTAACGCACATTGGGCTGACTGCGAGGTCTGAGTTGTCCCCTTAGATGGCAACCTTCCAAGCCACGGCTTTTAGCGCACCGTGCTAGATTCAAGCGCGTCAGAATTGTTTATAGTGAGGACTGTGCGTTGTGACCGTCGACCTCACTCTATCTTCTCACACATAGGCACCAGTCCATTGTCCGAGCTGGCCAGATGACTGATGCCTGGAGTATGCGCAGTCGCTGACAGAGCTAAGCAGCCCCTCTACGCGCTCCGTCCGCACGACCTGGCCCCTTAAAAGCACGCACCAGGATTGTACACGCAAAAGTGAGAAGCGGCTCGCATCTCACTTATTTAAGAGTCCCAATAAGAAGAAGCCATCATAAACTGACCCCCAATGCACCTATCAGCCACTCCCTTCACGAACACACTGCCGGGCAGACTGCGTGGTCTGAGTTGCAGCCTGATTTGGAAACTTTCCAAGCCACGACAGTTAGCATACCGTAATAGTTTCAAGCACGTCAAATTGTTCCTAGGGGGAAGTATACGCTGAGAGTCGATTTCGCTCACTCCACAGTAGATGGGCTATCTCATGAAATGTCAACCGAAATTCCGAAATGCGTCTTCGTTTCGAAAAGATTAATTCAGATGGGCCGTAAAACTACTCAGCCTGCGATATAATTCTATGCTATTTCAGTTAACTCAGGATGCCAGCTTTCGAATGAATTTCCTATCGGCTGCATGCAAAAACTACAGTCGATAAAAACGACTACTTAATTTGCATGAATTTTTATCATTGATTTTCAATGCCCTTCAAACTTCAATTATATTTCATGGAAAACATGCACAAAAATATTCATTCTTTTGGTCATTCGGTAGAAACGTACGTCTTCCCCTAAGTTCATGCTCAAATGAAGGACATATACGGTTTTAAAAAAGTTTCTAACTGTGGGACTTTTAAATACCGTGAAATGGCCGTTCATAAATCGTCATGTCTCTGCCTTTACCAATGTGGCTTGTAAAGTTAACAATATGGACTAAATCCACTGCCAAATTTTATGAACCCTATATGGTCTCCTCTTAATACCCTAGAGAAATGTGTAGTTTTCCGTACGCGGAAAATGTGCGGCTTGTAGTTTGGAAACCCTGAATCTAAGTGTAACGGTAGAGAGGGTTCAAAGGTATTCGGGAATTGCAAACGCTTTTGAAAACCGAGTTATACCCTTCATTCGAGTATAAGATTGGAAGAAGATGTACCTGTCTATCGAATGAATATTTCTGTGCATGTTTTCTGTGAAATATAATCAGACTTTTAGGTGCATCGAAAAGAAATGAGGAAAATGCATGCTACTTATGTAGTCATTTTTTACAGAGTGCAGTTTTTTCCTGCGGCCGAAAGAAAGTTCATTCGAAAGCCGGCATCCTGAGGTAGCTGAATTGTGATAGACTTATGCTGCACGATGATTAGTTTTACCACCCCACTAAATTAATCTTTTCGAAACGAAAACGCATTTCGGAATTTTGGTTGACATTTCATGATTTAGCCCACTTGCTGTACCCTAGCCTTTTCAGCAGTCAGCTATCCGAGCCGGTCAGTCAAGTGCTGCTGAGATTGGGAGAGGTTGCTGACAGAGCTGAGAACAGCCCTTCTTCGCATGCTGCACTCACGACCTGACTCCCATATGTACACATAATGATTTCACACGCAAGCAGGTAGAATGTTCGGATCTCCCATGCAGCGGAGGAGCCACATAGAGATAGGAACCGAAAATGCCCCCTTGCCACTTACGTGAGAGGTGCCGGTGATGTGGGATGAAGGTATGTATGCATGATGCGTGTGTTGATGGGGGGATGAGTGGTAATGTGGTCGTGTCTGTGGGTATTTGCCACAGTTTTTCGTAAATGCTCATGTGACTGAAGAGCCCTATGAGATGGATGAGTGTACGAGGGCAGTGATGGAAACTGAGGCGATGGCGTCTGGTGTAGGTTGGTGCTCAGGCCGTGGTTTGCCAGTCTATGTGCGATAGACCCACATGTGACCGGCCAGGCCGATCCGTGACATTGAAGGCAGGTAGGAGTTGGGGGATGTTAGGTCGGTTGCCATTGTGGTGCATGCTATTAGTGGACGCGCTGATTGATGGGATGTCGACTGGGCCGGAAATGGAAGGGACGGTTGATCTACAAGGTGTGCTAGGTGTGTCAATACTGTGATGAATTCCGCTCCTGTGGATACGCATGTGACCGATAGGCCTGTGTGGTGCATGAACGTACGAGAACCGTGTGTACTGAGAAGGCGGATGCGGCGAACGTGCGTGGGGTCTTCTGGCGCCGGTCGCACTGTAATGAATTCGCAAGTGAGGGACCAGGCCGATGTGTGAGGTGAATGTGCGATGGCGATGAAGAAAGGTAGAGGGAGTGATGATTGTGAGAGTGGTGGCGGTCAGCTGGTGGGAAAGATTTGGTCGGTGGGGGGAGTGGGAGCTGTGACCGTACTCGTCATCGCCACGGCAGGCATTATGGAGATGGCGATGATCGGCTACAGCGAAGTATGGGGATATTGAGAATCAATGGTGGGCGTGATCGTCGCAGCGGACGCCGTGGGGGCTTGGGCAGGGCGGTCGGGGGGGTAGCAGTTGAGATCTGCCGACGGTTGGGGAACTGAGTCCGCGGGTAGCCATCGGCATTGAAGACCTGTCAGAGGTATTGTAGCTTGGCAATCTTGTCTTCCGGCTCACTGCTGTGCGTTTCGACACGCCGACAGAGCGTCCTTACACAACTGCGTTTGTGGCTGATTGAATGGTTGATGTTGAAGTTCAGTATTTGCATCATATTTGTCGCTTTCCTGAACACCTTGGTCTTTAGTCCACCACAATCTTTCCGGCATACGAAGACATCCAGGAAGGCCAGCTGGTTGTTCTCTTCCTCCTCCATCGTAAATTGGATATCCGGCAAGATCGCATTCAGATGTTCCTTAAATGTTAGCAGTTGGTCCCGGTCTATAAAGACGAAGGTATCATCCACATACCGGCCCAGAACGTCGGTCTGTGCTGTTGGAAGACCAGCAATTCTAACCGTTGCAGGAACACCTCGGCGATGAATCCCGAAACGGGCGAACCCACCGGTGTGTCCTTCACCGACGGTTGGTGAATTGAGTCCTGAGATGTCCGACGAGGCCGACCCGTGCGCAGAATGTTCGTTGGCAGCGCGGACATTTTGAGAGTGGTTGAGGGTCAGCATTGCGGGTCAGGTGCGAGCTTCTCTTTTGATCCTGGCAGATGGCTGCTCCAGTCCTCACTGCTCTTATCGAGGTCGGCCGGTCCAGCGCGAGGTCTTTCCAAGTGTTTGAGCTGATTTGTAATAGCTTCAATATTTCCTCGTAATGATGGGTTTGACCTCCTTGTCGGCGAGCATCCATGGTGACATCCCCCGTGAAAGAGTTGTTTTGGTAGGCGTTCGTCGTCCTTCCCAAAGAGATGGCAGCTTCATCACGGTTGCAGCTGTCTCAATATGGTGGATGTTGAGGATTCCAATCCGTTCCAGAAATTATATGTCCAGGGTCCTGTCCTGGCACCTCGATACTTTTGTTCGACGAGGGCAGCTGAGGTGGAAGTGATTGAGTTTCCGCGCTCGCTTTTTATGGGTTATCCAGGCTTCTGGACCATACAACAGCATTATCAAGATGACCGGGTTCTATATCTTCAGTCTTGGTATTGAGAAGGAGACCGGGGCGAATCCACGCGTAGTTCTACGGCCGACCGAATGTTTGGCTGGCTTTTAAAATCTGGTCTGTCAGTGAATCCTCGATTTTGATACAGCGTTAGAGAGTGCTACCTACGTAGCCAAAGTTGTTCCCTGCTTTCCGTGGAGTGTCGTTGAAATTGGGGGTGAAGAACACTGTGTAAAGCGATGGGAGGCGGTAGATGCATGATCGCTGTTTTGTCCGTGTTCATGTCTAGCCCGAAGTTGGCGCAGTGGGAGGGGAAGAGTTTCATGCACCGTTGCATGCAGCTTCTGCCGCCGTGTTGAGGGCGCAGTCTTCAGCGAAAAGTGGGTCGTGGATAGTAGTCGTAGAGAGACGCGTTGTTGGGGATGTTGTCGTCCGGAGCTGGCAGTTTTTCCAGGCGCTGGGTTTGTTGATTGCTGAAATCTAAGTAGTGGAGCAGATAAATTCGACAGGCCAGTATTTAACTTACCTGGCGGTCGTTTACCCCGTGGTCTTCTGCGAGTTTGCAGACGGTGCCACATCTTGAATATGATGAGGCGGTGATCTGTCTTGCCATCAGGGTCGCAGATCGCCCTGGTCACCAGCACGTACCTTCGAGCTCGCCTGCGGACGAGAACGTAGTCCGGGAGCTGCCAAGACCGCATGTGCGGTACCTTCAAGTCGCCATATATAGCGTCAGGAGGCGGGAGAATGTGTTAGTCAGGCAAAGGCGGTGTTTTGTGGAGGTTCGCAGAAGGAGTAAACCATTCAGAGTAAGAAGACGCGATCACTGGAACAAGAATTTTGTTGACCGAACGTTTTGAATTCTTGATCGAAACCATTCTTATAGACAGTCGCAGATAAGGATAGTGGAGGCACAAGGAGTGCAGTATACGTAGTACGTAGCTGCCATGGGATCACATGGTACGATAATTAACAACTCAGGCGATCACCGCTGGGGGTCGTGATTCAAACTATGATGACTCGTCAGTCCGCGTCGGAGTCGTTAATTGCCGCAATTTTATCATGTTTGTAGGGTGTTGGCGTGATGATTATATAGATATTTGGATTGCTGTCACCGGGACTGTTACTCGACCACGCACTCCTCACGTGACTAATTCCGCTATTCAGGGAGTCTCAGCACAAAGTATTGTAACGGAAGGACATTGCGCTTGTTGGTGGATTGCCGGCCTGAGAACCAGGACTCAAATAGCTCGCATCTCACGCGGTTATCAACTTGTGCGAGGATTATGGCCTCTTAAAACACGAAAATATGGCCAGGTCCAGTCGAATGAGTTGTCGTCTGAGAGCTAGCGTCTTTACTCGTCACTGCTGCTTCGTGCTCGGCCATCCGCGTCCGAAGCAACCTCTCAATCTCTCCGACGTAGCTGCTTTATCCGCAACAGCATCAGATCTGTTAATCGACTCCGGACGTTTCCTGCAGTGACATTTGATCCTTTGACTTCATGACCCGGTGCCTGATGGTTGCTTCCGGCGTGTGTGCGAAGCGAGTCTCATTGAGAGCAGCGGTACCCACCTTGTAGCTTGCCTGTTCTCGAGCGACTAGCGCAATCCTCCTTTTCGGCCAATTGCTATGCTGACTGTTAAAAGGACCGGAAAGAAACATTCCAGGTTGCCACAGTGAACGGCCTGTGGGGGGGGGGGGTGAGGGCGGGAGGATGAGGTCGTGGGCTGTTGCTTGTTTGAGTGTTTCTGCCCTGAGTTGCCCATCTGCGAGTCACGGTCTGCCTGCAGATGACATGCCCCGGCATCTGTTTATGGCTCCTTTTCTAACCATTTCCACTCGATGGGGCAAACAGTGCCTAGACAACCCGGACGAGCGGCTAAGTCCAGCATGTGTCAAGGCGTGATCTAGTGGGAGAACGACCAAGTTAGCCTGAACAGCCTGCGAAACTGTACGTTGTTCTCTCGGTAGGGATATTTGAAGTGGGAGGAAGAAGGGCGGTAGAGGTGGGAGGAGGGGAGCGAATGAGATAAATGGGGACAGGAACAGGAGTACCGGGTGTGGCAGTACATGCAACAGCCCGCCGGTCGAGACGGTTACCGAAGTGTGGCAACTAGGTGTAGCCCAGCATCGTGGAGTCACGGATGAGCGTTAGGTGCAAGTCAGGGATCGTGAGGTACGGTCACTATTTGTCTGGTGCGACCTACCACTCGTGCATGGGTGCACCTAACTGGACACCCCTACACCCATCTTGCTCAACAATCAATATCACCATAACACCTCCGGCAACACTCCTAGTCAATGGGACATCTCTGAATTTCGATTAAACTTTAATGTGATATTGCATGAAGTAATTTTTTTGGATCGCCTGCTGACCCACGTCTATTTTTCACTAATGAACACAGTTTTCGCCTACTGCATTTGAGAAGGTTCTGTTTTTAAAAAAAGCTCTAATTTTTAGGGGACACAGGTGGATGTTTTCCCAAGTTAAACATTTGCTGTTGTAAGTCATCACTGTGCAAAGTAAACATATTTTTGGGACTGGGTTCTCCAAAAGAGGCCTTTGTATCCTGTGGGATGCCATATAACTGCTCGGATAGCCTCAAAACCGAGAAGCCTTCGAATTCTTTTGAGAAACTGAAGGACTTTCCGGATGGCCTAGGTGAAGTCTTACACCTAACTGTTTTTAAGTATGTTCAAACGTATAGGACAGTCTACAGGAAGGCATCCGAAGGATTGCTGAGTGAAGAGCAGTTGCCTAAAACATTCCATGTCGTCGGGAAACGACAGTCGATGGAAAGGCGATCCCAAGGAAAGACAACCTTTTTTCTTTCGGAACCCGTCCTACACAGGTAGATTGTTAACTGTAGTAGATGCGTGCGGGGAATGGAATCGCAAGCATAGTGGGTGAAATACCTGACGAATTATTAACCTATTTTTGAAATGTAATTTCAGTTAAGAAGCTTAACATGAGTAAAGGCGCAATATTTGTCTTTATTTAGAGTCTTTCACAGATTTTTCAGTAAAATCAGATTTTCGACTTTCGAATGCGGGCATTTTCGTCCGCCTGAAGAATTTTTACTCGCAAATAATGACATAGTAGCACATTTTTCCCCACCGCTCTTTAGCGTCCTCATGCATATTTACGTATCACATAAAACACAGTCATACAAATATCCATTTTTCATACTAATTTTAAGGTAAATTGTGTTTTCTTCAAATTGTTTTCTCAAAGAAACGTTATATTTTAGTCTCGAAATGTGCAATCACGAGGATTTGTAAGGGAGGGAAATGTCCCTTCAGACGGCATCATATCTGTGAGTCAATTAATGACACCAGTGAAACATACAACGTGGTCCATGTTCGGCTCCATACGATAGCTTGTCACTAGCATAGAGTAGTGCATGATGTTTCTTAAACGTGTACAACTTTTAGCTTGGAAACTCAAAATTCAGTTTTAACGGCAAGTAGTGCCAAAGTTATGCTTGAATCGAAAAATGTCTTTCCAGAATCTGAAAGGCACCGGTCCTTGGAGTTTAAAAGTTCGTGACATGTTGAATACAAAATCCATATCAGATAAGATATTTCCTGTGCATATTTTACGTAAAGTATGTTCGAATTTCAAAAAAATTAAATAGCAATGGAAAAATCATGCTACATAAGTGGCCATGTTTTGTCCTACTTTTCTCTGTCGGCCTTATTGTCTCGCATTCAAACGTCGCATCTTTCCGTAACTGCAATAACCGGAGAATACCCTGCAGGACAAACAATATTACAACCCTAGTTTGGTTATCGCTTGTAACAAAATAGTACTTCAGAATTATGACTAGCATCTGATCATTTGCGTAACTGAAAGGCATTTAGACACAGTACACAGAATATGAATTCTGGTGATAAATATTAAGGAAGTATGAAAAGGGGTATTTCTGGCTAATTTGACGTTGGCAACTAGTTACACTCCAACAACTCGATTCTTCTGGTAGCAATACATCTCGATTACTGCTTGCTGGTCGCTGCTTGATTTCACGAGAAGCCTTGAGGTCAGGAGAACACCACTCGGTAACGATAGGGCGTAGGACACACAAGTAGATGGCAACTCCAGAAATATACCCTAAAACCCGGTATGACTGTAAACATCACTTATTACTCACCGTTCCCATTGTTTAAAACTTCCTTGCCTTCCTGACTAAATGTAAATTCACCAGCAACGCTTTATTCAAATTGCGTTCTCTTTTAAAAATTTCTTCTTGATTAATCTTAAATTATCGTGTTCACTTTCCTTGCCAAATGACAAAGTACAATAAGACTTTCGGCAGAAATTAATCAATTTTCTGTGTCTTCTTGTTCTCCGTCCTGTGCGTTGCCCCACCAGTTAAACCCTCTTTAACACCATTCAACGCATGAAACGGTTCACAGTATAGCTCAAGTTAGTTGTGGGTCCTACACCCTATGGTTGACCAACATTCCTGCAAATATTCAGTTTCTCCACCCAGGTGGTCGTATTTTCTGGACCCTACCGCGCAGTTGTCAATTTTACAGACCCTCACGAAAGGGCCAAAAACTGTGCGA